CACAGCAGTTAGGCCGCACTCATCCACTGTCAGTGACCCATGTCATGTTAGATATACACTTCTTCCTCGTGGCTTGGTGCTTCATTCAGCTCCTCGTGGTTCATCATTTTTTCTTAGAGGTCGGCTTTTCAGCATTCGGACACAATCTGAGCTTTTAAAGAGTTATGCTAGGGGTAACACTATAGGAATACACTCAGAAGGGAGGGGTTGCTCCACCAACATGTTATATTTCACACATTAGCCTATGACGTGGGGGATCATGGACATCTGAACGTTCAACAATACGCCATTGATGCTGAGGCGTGGGGGGTCTAAGCCATCTGGACGCTCAACAATACACATGTCCATTTGATTAATGATAGGGAAGGGGGGGGGCAAGGTCAGGGGGTCATTGAACAATACACCTGTCCATTTGATTGATGATAGGGAAGGGGGGCAAGGTCAAGGGTCAAAATGAACAATAGGACTGAAAGGTCAAAAAGGTCAAAGAACAATAGACCTGTCAAAATGTTTGACGAAAGGTATCTTATTATGTCTCTCTGTCATATTTCAACCCATTTTTATGTTAAACGCACTGGGTTTTACCCTTGTATCCATCGACATATGCCCTATTAATTATTTTACCGTATTTTACATTTAAATTTCATGGTTAAACAGTACATGCTGCATGTTAAAATGATAGTTAGCTAGCTACTTCGATAAACTCAGCTAGTTTAAAGGCGGCAGTGACCTAAAATACATACATTTAATTTAACTTACTGAAAAAAAATGAAGTGGAGACTCCTTGGACGCTCTATTAGTGCAATTAATACCACAGCAAGTCATTTTGTCCAACAATTGCACAAATAATATCCAAACAAGAATACACAAACACAGAGACTTAAAATCCCGGAGCAGTTTCCAGGCCAGACCGAGGCTCTACTGAGGCCTTTCCACGGAGCTAGCTCTGTGGTCACGTGGGTCTGATGCTCATTAATTATACAGAATTTTAGGCTTTTAATACACTTAAACAGAAGAGTGAGAAAAAAATTCACCCCCCTCAGAGTTGTCATGAGTGTAAACTAGATCATTTAAACCAAAAACATGTTTTGGTACCAGGCTGTAAACATGTTTATTTCTGCTGTGAAATTGGTATTTTTAACATGCATGAGGATTTGCTCGCTTCTGACACCAGCCCCCAGCGGATGAGGGTGGAACTGCAATTTTTGCTACTTCCGGGTTGGGACCAATTTTAGAGCCGCATTGTGGGGGCTTGGTCGGAACCCAGCTCCACCAACATGTTATATTTCAACCCATTTTCTAAAGTGCAGCATTATGTTAAATGCACTGGGCTTTACCCTATTACATTTAAATTTCATGGTTAAACAGTACATGTTAAAATCTAAGCTCAGCTAGTGCAAGAGCGGCAGTGACCTAAAATACATAAATATAATTTTACTTACTGAAAATAATGAAGTGGAGACTCCTTGGACGCTTTATTAGTGCAATTAATGCCACAGCAAGTCATTTTGTCCAACAATTGCACAAATAATATCCAAAAAGAACGCACAAACGCTACAACTAATGGTCTAAGTTGAGAGACTGAAAATGACCGAACAGTTTTCAGGTGAGGCCGAGGCTCTACTGAGGCCTATAGAGTTATCTGCATACTGAAAAAACCTCTGTTGCTATTCAGTGGAGATTCCGAAAAATGACCAATCAGATTAACCTATGAAGCTTATATCATATATATAAATATCCCGGATACTTATATATCGATCTAAGTTCATACAACAACATGTTTGATCTAATTTTAATCCACAGATTAACGTTTAATTTAGATAATTAAATTTAATAGCAAAATTTATTTTTAATCAGAAACTAGGATCTTTGCTTTCAAATAACCAGAAATATTATACCTTTTCTGTGTTTCATTTCAATAATGAGGCAAGTTTAAAAATGAAGAAATTTATTACTAACAATTTTAAACTTAAAGATTTGAAACGACAATTATAAAATGACAATTCATGGATGGAAATTTTCATGACAATTGTTAACAGCTTTGGCATTAAACTTGTTTTAAAATCAAACCTGTGGCTGAATGGAAGCTAAATGAAAAATACGAGTTTGGATGCGTGAATGAGGTTATTAGAAGGTTTCTTTCACAGAGAGTTGGAAGCGTTCTGGATGAAATGATGTTTTGCGGCTAACTGAGTTATTTAGAGAGAAAACGGCATCAAACGCATTCTCGTGTTCTACCTCACCCAAACAGGAGACCCTCTTGTGGATCCGGAGATCAGGAGGATGTGTTCATCCAAGATGACACTCAGTCTGGTAGGGGAGACGCAAGTGTCTGATCGTCTGGTCCAGAGTTGTCCTGGGTACACGGTTGTCAAGCGTCTGGCAGATGGACGTTCTAGTCTTAACTTCAGAAATCAATGACTCAGGGTAGAGTCTTCGTTAGCTGGTTACAGTTTCGTTTATTCTTTAGCTATTCTGGTCGGAGCAGGTGGAGGTGCACCCGCACATATGTCACATCAAATCGACAAGCTTGGTCTCAGGAATCTTGTATTCAATTTTAAATGCGTTATCTGTTACTATGGTAACACAAGTGCATAAGTATATCCCCAAACAAGTCTTATTGAAATGAATGTGAAAAGCCTAATATTGAGCCTATAACATACTGCTTTTTCTTATCTTTCTTAGCTCTATACACTTAAAACTAGCAGCATAGCTGACATGTTAATACTAGTCAGAAGGCAGGAACCGCCCCCTCCTCCTTCGCTGGTCTCTCATTGGCTGAGAGTTTTCAAAAAGGAAATATGCACCCACACAGATGGTACATCAATTCAACCTGCTTGGTCTCAAGAGTCTTGTATTAACTTGATACTGTTACCATGGCAACATGCTTAGCAACAACATTTAACAACATTTTAGACACAACTGTATCAACATACTTAAGTTCAATTTGATTGACCGTCAGAAGGTGGGAAAGTTACCCGATCCCTCCCAGCTTCCTGATTGGTTGAGAGAGGTCAATCATCTTCTGGCTAAATGGAATTACACACCCACACATGTGAGATATCAAATCGATCGGCTTGGCCTATGGAATCCATCCATCTAAATATAAATCCATACATGCTTCTATCCATCCATCCATCCATCCATCCAATAAACCATCTAACATCATCCAATAGACCATCTGGCATTTCATTCATCCAACCATTCATCCATCCCATATCAAATCTAAACATATGTTAATCTATCAGTTTCAGATATCAGCAAATATTTCTAAATTCACAGTTCATCCAATTGTAAAAATGTACCCATTAAACTATTCTCATTCAAATGCCAGCTGTTTAACATTTCAAATTTTGAGTTTTTAATTAATGTTCAAATATTAAAGTTTTCGTCTGTTTAGCATTTTTTATCCATTCTTCACCTATATTCTGAGCTTTATGACACTTGTTGGTGATTTTTGCTTCTAAATCTTTAAATACGTTCAACTCATTTTGACAGTTTAGCTTAGTTTCACCTTCACTTCAGCAATCTGTTTCTGAATTCGGCTTATGCTGCTCATTTCACAGTTCAGTTAAATATAAAAATTAAACTGTTAAACTAGTCCTTCTCAAACAACAAGTGTTTAGACCTTTTTGCTGTCCATATTTTTAAATAATGTTCAGATTTCAGTTTTCTGCTGTTTAGGATTGTTTTCTCCGTTCTTGACTTTTTGTGCTTTATTTACATTTTGGTGCTTTTTGCTTCTAAATCTTTCAAAACATTCAGCTCATTTTAACAGTTTAGCTTAGTTTCAGCTTCAGCAATTAGTTTCTGAATTCAGCATATGATGCTAATTTCACAGTTCAGCTAAATGTAAAAAATAAAACTGTGAAACTAGTCCTACTGAAATAACAGGTGTTTAGACATTTAGGCTGTCCAATTTTTTTAAACAGTGTTCACAGATTTGAGTTTTCTGCTATTTAGGATTAGTTTTCTTGATTCTTCACTTACTTTTTGTGCTTTTTTTGCTTCTTGGTGCTTTTGGCTTTCACATCTTTCACTACATTCAGCTCATTTGACAGTTTAGCTTAGTTTCAGCTTACTTCAGCTATTCAACAACTTCAGCAATCAGTTACCAAATTTAGCATACACTGCTAATTTCACAGTTCAGCTAAATGTAAAGATTAAACTGTTAAACTTGGCAAACTGAAATAACAGTTAAGCTGTCCAGATTTTTATACAATGTTCACAGATTAAAGTTTTTTTTTTTTTTTTTTTTTTTTTTTTTGCTATTTAGCATTATTTTTCTCTATTCAATTACTTTTTGTGCTTTATTTGCTTGTTGGTGCTTTTTGCTTCTACATCTTTCAAGACATTCAGCTCATTTTGACAGTTTTGCTTAATTTCAGCTTCAGTTCAGCTGTTCAGCAGCTTCAGCTTACAGTTTCAGCTATCCAGCATTCAAACAGCATTTGTGCAATAAATGCAATTTTTCTAGTTAGTATCATCGTGACTTGAAGTGTCCTCTTCCTGGGATGGAACAGCAGCAGATAGGTGATATGATCTTGGGCAGATATGGATATGATCTTGCAGACATTGTGGCTCCTTGTGTTAATCTGTGGATTTAAAAGTACTGTTTGACCCAGCTTGACCCAGCTGGGTAGATGTGACCTTTGCCACAAATTAGAGAACCTTCATCCTGTTACAGGCCTTTCCCTAGTGCTAGCTTTGTGGTCACGTGGGTCTGATGCTCATTAATTATACAGAATTTCAGGCTTTTAATACACTTAAACAGAAGAGTGAGAAAAAAATTCACCCCCCTCAGAGTTGTCATGAGTGTAAACTAGATCATGTAAACCAAAAACATGTTTTGGAGCCAGGCTGTAAACATGTTTATTTCTGCTGTGAATTTGGTATTTTTAACATGGGAGTCAAGGAGGACTTGCTCGCTTCTGACACCAGCCCCCAGCGGATGAGGACGGAACTGCAATTTTTGCTACTTCCGGGTTTGCTTCAATTTTTGACCCGCATTGTGGGGGCTTGGTGAAACCAGAAGTTGCTCATTAGTTCATATGAAACACGGCTGTGTTGGCAAAGAAAAACTTTCTGCAAGGAAACACGCCCGGCTGAGCTAGGACATGGAACTTTGCCTCAAACAAACCATCAGAATGGAGGTGCATGTTTAACAAATGTTTGGACATTAATATTGAGTTTATTTTGACCATGCACTGATGTATGTTGGTTGGTTTATGTGCCCAGCCCAGAGATTATGTATTGTGTGACACAGCATCCCAATAGGATCTGATATTTGCAGCCCCTGGGAAAGTGGAGCGAGGTATATGATTTACTGCTCCTGTGATTAAGATGTGTTTTTTTGTTTAGTTTTTGAGTTGCTGTAACCATTGTTCATTTAACCGTTTGTACAGTTTTCACGGTCTGATGGTTGACCTCATCAGAAGTAATTTCAGATGAACAGAAATAAAATCTCTGCACCAGTCGAGGCTCTCATCGCTTTTCCCTTCCTTCAATCCCGGTGTTGTGCCATAAATAGACTGGCTGCCAAAAAATGATTAGCCACCGCTGGACTGCTATATATATATATATATATATATATATATATATATATATATATATATATATATATATATATATATATATATTAGAACAGTAGGAACGTTGCTCTGAGCCTTGCGGTGTAGTCGGAATGTTATTGACGAGACAACAGGAAACGGAGGTTGCTGTTGATTCATTTGTAACACATGAGTATTTTAGGAGTTTAACTGAGTGTTTTACGGGTCTAACATGACTTTTCATTTCTACGCGGTGTTTTAATGTTATAGAATCTAATTTCACGTATGAGGAGCAGAAACGATGCCGCTGTCGGACTTTCTGGACAGCCTGAAGGACAACCCGTACTTCGGTGCTGGTTTTGGACTGGTTGGGATCGGAACAGCGCTGGCCGTGGCTAGGAAAGGTGCCCAGGTGGGAATGATCTTCTTCCGCAGACACTACATGATCACCCTGGAAGTTCCCAGCCGGGATAAGAGCTACCACTGGCTGCTGAGCTGGATCACCAAGCATGCCAGGCACACCCAGCACCTCAGCGTGGAGACCTCCTACCAGGCCCATGAGAGCGGACGGGTCCACACTCAGTTCGACTTCCACCCGAGCCCAGGAAACCACATCATCTGGTCAGCTTAGTTTTATAAACCCAATCTGCTGGAATGCACTGATTTCGTGTCTGTTCATGAAAGGCTCAACTTGTGTCACAGTGATCCAATGTGGTCTTCAGGTACGGGAGGAAATGGATCCGAGTGGAGCGGACCAGAGAGAAGCAGATGGTTGATCTTCATACTGGTACTCCGTGGGAGTCCGTCACCTTCACCGCTTTGGGCAGAGACAGACAAACCTTCTTTAACATCTTACAAGAAGGTGCAAACAGACGGGGACCGTCTTGTTATTTTAGTTTCCTGTTTTTCTGAGGACAAGAGAGTCAGCTCTGGTGTGAATTCTGTCTTCCAGCTCGAGAACTTGCATTGAAGCAGGAGGAAGGCAGGACGGTGATGTACACTGCCATGGGAGCAGAGTGGAGGCCCTTTGGGTTTCCACGGCGACGCAGACCCCTGAGCTCAGTGGTTCTGGAGACCGGCGTGGCCGAAAGGATCGTAGATGACGTGAAGGACTTCATCGGAAACCCAAAGTGGTACACGGACCGAGGTAAAGAGGTCCTAATCAGCGGGTGGGAGTCTGTCTGCTGAGCATTTGGGTCAAAGGGACTTTCTGTGCTCCCAGGTATTCCCTACAGGAGAGGGTATCTGCTGTACGGTCCTCCAGGATGTGGGAAGAGCAGCTTCATGTGAGTTCATTAGCCGTTGTCCTCTTTTTTTTTGTGTGTGTGTGTGTGTGTGTGTGTGTGTGTGTGTGTGTGTGTGTGACCGAGACTTCAGGGATCTCTTTGGGTCTTGTGTTTCAGCACTGCGCTGGCAGGTGATTTGGGCTACAGCATCTGCCTGCTGAGCCTGAGCGACCGAACGCTTTCAGACGACCGTCTGAATCACCTGCTGAGCGTGGCACCGCAGCAGAGCATCGTCCTGCTGGAGGATGTGGACGCTGCCTTTGTGAGCCGAGAGCTACTTCCAACGGAGAGTGAGTCAAAGGCTTGGGGCTTCTCTCTGTATTCAGGGAGGATTTTCTGTGTAATAACTGTTTTTATTTTTGCTCCTCAGACCCACTGGCCTATCAGGGAATGGGAAGACTGACTTTCAGTGGACTCCTCAACTCACTGGATGGAGTCGCTTCATCTGAGGCTCGAATAGTTTTTATGACCACAAACTTCATAGACCGGTAGGAAAATTATGAGCACATTTAATTTAAACTTCTTTTCAGCTACAAATGTGTTTCCTAAATGCATCTATTGAGTCGCAATGGAGCTTTGAGTGGCACCTTGTGTGAGCAGAAATCATCAAAATTCCATTTTCTCTATTTATATGTCCAGCCTAAGGCCAGCGGTCCAAAGTTCGCTCCTAATATGTTTTGATCTAGCAGCAATTTGTGTTTTTAACCATCCTATAAATCCCAGAATGCACTGGGACACACAGCAGCAGCTCTGGTGGGACTGCACTGACTGGTGAGAGTTTCTGTTGCTGCTTATTTAGTTTAAAACCAGAACAAAGGTATTTTCCTCTGCGGGGGGCATCATCTTGGCGTCATTGGCCCATCAGTTCGACTGGTGCATGAATAATTTTTAACTAGAACATTTTTTTCAGTTTGATGGTTTATTTATTTATTTATTTTGTTCTTTATTTAACCAGGAAGGTCCCATTGAGATTAAAAACCTCATTTTCAAGGGAGTCCTGGCTAAGAGGTAGAAAAGGTTAGTTACAAAATGCTTCTGTTACACAGACATGTTATGTACTAAGTTACAGAAGGCAGTTACAACACAGGGAATCCGTCTCAAGGTCTCAGTTTAGATTTTAAATGTAGTCAAGGAGATAAACTCTGTTAATTTCCAGTTTTCCTGCAGCCTGGTTCATGCAGAAGTGCAGAGTGAACGAAAGCTGTTTGCCCAGTTCGGTGCGAGCAAAAGGACCACAGTAACAGCTGATTGTTTGTACGCAGACTGTGAGAAGTTGCACTTCTCCGTGAGATTAAGTTACAGATGTAGGTGGTTAGTAATCCAAGCATGGCCTTATATATGAAAGTGTACCAATGTCCCAACCTCCTGGTGGACAAAGAAGGCCATCCCACTGGAGAATACAGTTCACCATGATGGGTCAGTGGTCTACAGTTAGTAATAAACCTCAGCGAGGCATGATGACCACATCAATCGTACCAAGACACTGTGCTGAGGCATATAATCCAGAATAGACAAATGTTGCAGTAACTAGTCGTTTTTTTGCCTCAAAAGAAAAACAGTTTATTTCTAGAAAGGAAACCCGGTTTGAGTTTCTTCACAAGATTTTCTATATGGGGCTTGAAGGAGAGGGATTCATGGAGCCAGACACCAAGGTATATGTGTGGACCACCTCTATATTTCCCTCAAGAGTTATCACTGAGTGCATACTTAGAGGTCTTTTTTTAGAGTTTGAAAACAACATTAGCTTAGTCTTGACAGCATTGAGGACCAATTCTAACTGCAGAAAGGTTTGTTGGACCTCATTAAAAGCTTTCTGTAAGAATTCAACAACTTTAGTGGGGGATGTTCCAAAACAGTAAATGATTGTGTCAACAGCATAAAATTGGATATTAGCATCCAACACGTTTTGTCCTATGTCATTAATATACATAATGAACAAGAGGGGTCCCAAAACTGAACCCTGTGGTACTCCCTTGTAGACACTCAATCATTCAGAGGACAATCCATCACATTTAACGCATTGAGTTCTGTCCTTCAAGTAGTCTGTGAACCATGATGTTCAGACTGTCCCAATCAGAGAAGCTGTTTTTTTAAACAGCATGGCCTACAGGGTCAAAGGCCTTTGACAGATCAATAAAAAGAGAAGCACAGTACTGCTTTTTATCTAGAGCAACAAGTACGTTGTTGATCACCTTTGTAGCTGCAGTGATGGTGCTGAGCTTTTTTCTGAAACCTGATTGCTGACTTGAGAGACGGTCATTTGAATATAGTCTTTTAATTGTTCACTCTCTAGAGTCTCTAGTTTTTGCCAGGACACACAAAGTAGATATTGGTCTGTAATTTAGTAATAGAGCTGGGTCATCACCTTTTAGTGAAGGAGACACAAAAGCAGACTTCCAAACTGATGGTGCTTTTTGTTTTTGATAGAAAGGTTAAAAAGAGGCTCTGCTATGATCAGCAGCCATTTTCAAAAAATGGGGTTCCATCATGTCTGGACCAGAAGGTTTTCTGGGATCCAGAGCTCTAATAATCGTATGTACGCGCTCTACAGTAAACGGGAATAAGTTAAAAGAGGCACCGGGGTCATGTGGGAGTCGGTGTTCCAGTAGAAGCTGAACCAGATGAGATAAAATGCTTGTTAAAAAGTTAAGAATCCAATTAAGCATAAACACCTCATCTGTGTGGGAGGGGTGGGGTGGGAAACCGACTGCTGTGTGTTTTTAATATTGTAAAGCGCTTTGAGCTGCACTTGTATGACAAGCGATTCATAAATAAATGAGATTTGCTTTATCACTTTCCAAAATTTTAGTGGATAATTTAGGTTCTCAGTTGTGACAGATAAGTGACAGTCTGATTTGGCGTTTTGATGAGAGTGGTACATTTATTTCATAGTTGCCTTTAGGTAGCCCAGTCAGAGAGCAGATTTCCTTCTCTGTCTTTGGCCCATGCAACATTACACCGATGGATAATATTTGACAGCTCGGGGGAGAACCAGGGATTTCATCGTCCTTTGATTTTGAGTTTCCTTAAGGGGCATGCTTATTTACAATTTCCATGAAAATCTTCTTGAAGAATGTCCATGCAATTGGAAGTATTTGCTTCCAATTAGTAAGTAAATTTTATTCTATAGCACTTTTCACAGACATAGAATCACAAAGTGCTTCACATAGATCAAAACAAAATAAAACAAAGTCATAAAATCTTAATGAAATGGATTAGCATCAGAAAAAGTCATAAAATTATAAAATTTCATAAACAGATGAAAAATTACAAATTTGAGTTAAAAGGAAGAAAACAAAAGATTTGTGTAAAAGCAGCTTTAAATAAAAGGGTCTTCAGCTGTTTTTTAAAAGTGTCCAGACTGTCGTAAGGATAAAGGAAGATCATTCCAAAGGTTGAGCGGGTTGTCCAGTAATCGCAAGGTTGCAGTTTCGATCCCGGCTCCGGACAGAGAATTCTGCTGTTGTGTCCTTGGGCAAGACACTTAACCCACCTCTTGCCTGCTGGTGGTGGTCGGAGGGACCGGTGGCGACTGTGCCACCATCTCTGTGTGTGTGTGTGTGTGTGTGTGTGTGTGTGTGTGTGTGTGTGTGTGTGTGTGTGTGTGTGTGTGTGTGTGTGTGTGTGTGTGTGTGTGTGTGTGTGAGTGAGTGGATGAATGATACACTTAGGGATGGGTACCTTTGACATTTGAATCGATCCGGTACTAATTCCCGGTACCTACGAATCGATACCGGTACTTAACGGTACCAATTTTCGATACTTTTGAGTGTTTAATATATTTTTAATTCTCTTTTATAATTAAATATATATTTTTCTTAATATATAACCACATTTGATAAATATCACGATAAATAACATACAACTGTTTGTATTTTAACATCGTCCTTGTAGTTTTATAAGCTGATAATTAAACTGAAGCAAACATCTTTACTGTGAATTAAATTTACTGTGTATCTTCATTCCTTTTACCGTCCTTTTTCGATTGATTTTTCCTACTGGGAAGTTAGAATTTCCGAGGAGAAAGCGAACGCACCATTAGATGATAATGGTGGCATAGGAAGCTAACATATCAAGCTAACGTTATCTTAAACAGTTTATTTAACTGCTGGAGCAGATTTACACGATGATGCCTCACACTTAAATCATTGTCACTGGTTTCATCTTCACCCAATCACCCGTCGCATTTAGTAAAGTGAAGCCAAACTTAGTTGGAATTTCTGAGTTCCGAGGAGAAAGCGAACGCACCATTAGTGAAACGGAAGCTAACAAATCAAGCTAACATTGTTCTGTTTACAACTCGCTCGCAGCGACTGATGACAACGCTCTTGCGCATGCGCAGCTGTCTAGGCAAGTTGTGAAGGACGGGTACCGAAACGAGGCACCGTTTCAAATTAAGTGAATCGGTGCTCGGTCGGTACTGTGGAATTCGGTCGGTACCTTAAAAAGTACCGAATTCAGTACCCATCCCTAGATACACTGTAGTGTAAAGCACTTTGGAGTCCTCTAACTCTGAAAGGCGCTATACAAGTGCTGGTCATTTATCATCATTTATCATGAGACATTATGAAAAGAATCAATTATCTGTCCAAGAGGGTGTATGTACAAACAACAGTGGACCCAAAACAGAGCCTTGGGGTGCCCCACAGAACAGGTCAGTAGAATCTGACATGATTTGGTTTCTACAGACACTGTAACTTCTGTTAGAAAGGTACGATCTAAACCAGTCTAGAACAGTTCCAGAGATCCCCACCGAGTCACCAAGTCTGTTAAATAAGATGCGGTGATCAACAGTGTCAAAAGCTGCAGAAAGATCTAACAATGCTAACACTGTGAACTCCCCGTTGTCTGCAGCCATCATGATGTCACTGGAAACTTTAAGCAAAGCTGTTTCTGTTGAACGCTTTTCACCAAAACCAGACTGGAATTTATCAAAACTGTTGTGTAGTTCCAGAAAAGTCATCAGCTGATCTGCCACAACCTTTTCCAATATTTTAGAGATAAATGGTCGTTTAGAAATGGGTCTGTAGTTTTTAGGCTGAGATGAGTTCAGTTTTTTTCTTAAGAACAGGTTAAACAACTACATATTTGAAAACAGATGGTACCGAGCCAGATTGTAGGGATAAACTAATAAAATCTACAATGCATGGGCCAATTTGGTCAGTAGATGGGGGTGAAAAACTTGCCCTGATATTTGATTTTATTCTCAAAGAATGCTAGAAAGTTGTTACAGTCAGACCTTGAGTAAACTGGCATTAAGCAGGACTTTAGAGCTATTTTTGTTTACAGCAATCAGCTGAGCAAAGTCAGTGGCCCTGGACTTTTTCACCAGTCAACCAAAGACAAATCCTTATAAGCTTGTTCACTGAATTGTTTAAGATTTTTCATGATGCATGATTTAGATTTAAGCATTTTAGTGCTCCTGCATGTGGGAAAAACACGATTGCTCAAGTCATTGCAGAAAATGCCCAAAGATGAGAATTTACGAGGGACATTTGTTAAAGTAAAGTGAATCAAGGTGGACCTATCAGGATTCTTAAGATTGGGTCTTGTGGGTTGGTTAACCAACTGGCTAAGATTTATGGAGTCACGGAAGCTTTTGAATTCATCTGAAACTGCATTTTGCCAGTCACAGTTGGATCGCCAGCCAGTAGGAGTTCATTATGATTTAATTTGGATAAGAGATGCTTAAAGGATGCCTCCTTGGAAGCCAATGGGGCCTATAGCACCCAGCAGCAGAAGTGATTTAGCAATTTCCACATTTAAACCCAAAAACTCCATTTGTTTACAGATAAACTCAGACATGATTATTGATGCATTCAGTATTGATCCGCTATAAATAGCTACACCCCAACTAGTGAGGTCAGTCTGTGCGATAAACATTGTGTCCAGCTATGTTAATATCCTAGTAGTACCATCCACAGTAGTTATGGATTTAGTCAGCCAAGTTTCAGAAATGATTACAATGTCTGCAGCTGTTGGTTTAATCCAGATTCTGACCACGTCTATCTTTGGTAATAGGCTGCGCACGTTCAGATGAACAAATGTGAGACCTGATAAAGTGAGTTGGTGTAGTTTATTCCCAGCTAAGTTAGAGTTAGTGCTGCCATAAAAAGTGTCCCTTACTCTGAGCATATTAATGTTGACCAATGGGACACAACAAGGTCCCAAGTCCAAAACAGCCAGAAAAAACAACCAGGCTATGAAAAACATATTCTTCATTTTACAAAGCACAAGGTCAGCAGAATATTGTTTTTGAGCAATAAATGCACAGGAATTAGGTTTCAGGAAGGTGTTTAAGGCTTTGTCAGGTTCTGGGGGTGGGTTTAGGAGTATAGTCCAGGAAGGGTCCTTTGTGTGATGAAATGCGCTTCAGGCTTTACATCCTCAAGAGCCAAACAATCTCCTACCTTACAAAACATCAACTCACCAGAATAATGTTTGTGAGAGGTTCAGCAATTAATCCAGGTCTTAGGAAGGTGTTGAAGACTCTGTCCCCAGGAGATGTTGCATTTAGCAACTACTTGGCAGCTAGACAAGCCACACAGCTAAAGCTCCAGGTGGCTGAAAAACAGACCCGACCCAGAAAGTCAAAGCAGAACCAGGCTTTGTGACTGCAGCAGGGCCAAGTAATGGGAGCCACAGAAGAGCCAGGATCCAAGCGGGCGCAGCAGACACAAGCCAAATCGGCTGGACTAGCAATCCAGTCCGAAGATGATAGAAAACTCAGGCTAGGCTACCAGAAACAGGCAAAGCTAGGCAGAGAAACAGAAATCCAGGAAGGGCCATACAGAAACCAGCAGGACCACAGCCAAAAATGGTGAAAAGCTCCGACCAGGCCAGCCAAGGTATGAGCCACGGACAAAGGAAGGTCAGGTAAAGGCGAGAAGGATCCAGGCTGAAGATGGTCGAAGTTTGTGGGTTGCTGTAGTTTGTGAGAAGTTTGGGATCAGCCACTCCACACAGCAGGCCGTTGTTCTCTAGGAATATGGTCAAACAGGACCTGTCTAAGCTTGGTTTATGCTTGACGCATTTACTTTCCGCTTGGTGATGCGGCTCGCGGATGGAACGCGCTTCACAACTCACAGCGTTTATGGTTCATGCGGCTTGTCTCTGCGGTGAGCCAATATTCTCCCAAACTGTAGGGGGCAGCATGGAGCTCTGCGGCATGCATCCATCACTACACCATAGTAGAAGTAAACATTACTGTTGTTTACAACATGGCATTCCAGCATTTTTAACAGCATCCTCGTCTTTTCCGACAGTGCGAGCTATTTCTCTCCAAGAATTATTTACAACATGTTGATCATGGTGATCTCTGAGAGCTGAATCATACAAATGTCTGTATTTACGAACCTCTGCCATACTAGTTCTTGCCGGTCCGCCATGTTTTTCCGCGTCCGACCGTCCGCGTGGTTAGAGATTTTCCTAGGTGCGCGTTGCGGAAATTTTGGGCCGTGCGGAGGCACGGTGGAGGGGCGTGGTTGTTAAAATGACGTAGTTTTGCCGTGCGGACCTCGCGGACGCGTCAAGCATAAACCAACCTTTACGCTGCAGGCCTCAGTGTCTCTGCAGCAAGGGTTGAGGTTGAGAAATAATCCAGGTCCATCCGTCAACTTCCACGAGTCAAAAACTTCCCAAATATAATGTGTTTCTTATATTATCTACTTCAAAGTTTTCACCAAACGGAAAGGAACTATTCAGTAAAAGAACAGACAACAACATAAAACTGTCCGGGGCTGACAGATGAACAATAGACTGGTAGGGCTGCCATCTTGGAAACAAAGGAATGGTTCCTTGTCTTCCTTCCTCCTGGTGTTGAAAGGTGTACCCCAGGGCCCCACATGTGGACCTCTTATTTTCTCTACATCAGTAACATTTATTTACTGTTCAACCCCCCATAACTCAAACCCTTTTGAGAGGTACAGTCTCTTTAAACCAACGTAAAGCTGGTGCTGAATGTACGGGTTACGGTTGTGCACCCTAACACTTTAACTAATAAAACAATCACAAATCAAAGTTTGAACTTGTTGAGTTCTTTTCACTCGGTCAATAAATGAATGAATGAATAAAATTATGTTTTAATCTGGTTCTGTTTTCTATAATTAGCATTCTGTGACCCGTTCACACAGGCTGGACTCTGCGCTGATCCGACCCGGACGTGTCGACCTGAAGCAGTACATCGGGTTCTGCACCCACTGGCAACTCAGCCAGATGTTCCATCGGTTCTACCCGGACCAACCAACCTCAGATGCAGAGCGCTTTGCTGAGCGAGCGTTAGCGGCCCACGCCGAGATCAGCGCCGCTCAGGTTCAGGGACACTTCCTGCTGCACAAAACGGATCCTGCAGCATCTATAGAGAACGTGGTTCAGATGAGAGGGTGAACTGGAGCGGAATCGGAGACTAAGTGTTGAATAAAAAGAAAACTTTGGTTCTAATGATATTTTATCAATAAAAAAAATCTGTTAAACTAACTCTTTTGTGTTTAAATATCTTTGGTGGCCATCTTGAATCGGACTGACTCCTTAAATTAGAATTAATCTCAGATGTTAATCTGATGTAGATAAACGTGACGTGTGATGAATAATTTCTATCCATCCAGTAAAGAGATTATAGCGTCTGATTGCTGATAATGACTTGAGCTTTTATGGTTAATAACCATAGATTATATCCAACACAACTAGAATGACATTAAGGTTATTTAAATGTATTAGTTTGGATAGTTAAATGTATTCGTTACATTAACTTAGTAAAACGTTAACTCAGGCATCTTCAAAGCTATTTATTGTGTTTGTTTTTAAGCAGGTGAAAAGAAACCCATTTAGGTATAAAATGTCATTTTCAAGAGGGACCCAGTCTAGGAAGGACGCACAAGAAGACTAGAGAGGAGCACATGATCCCCCGTTACAGCTCATGTCTGTCATGAAACCTATCCACTTTTCTAATTTAACAGGAAGATTTGATGACTAAGCTGTTTTAAGTTATTCAAATTCACTAAATGACATCAGTTCTGAAATATTTTGTTCCTTCTAAAGGTTATTCCAAGAAAATGTAGCAACAAAACAAACTTTTTTACCCAGTTGGGTTCTCAGTCTGGGGAACGACATTTGGAAGGCAGCTCTCAAACCAGGACACTTCTGACCCATAAGGAGTCGGACCAAGGAGTGACTTGTAGACAAAAGACGTCCAGTGAGTACATCTGCAGGTTTGTGGTGAGCAGAGAAGCAGAAATGAAACAAAGTCCAGTTTCTTCAGCTGTTTATCAGGTGCTGTCAAATACAGAAAACCCGGCAGCAGGGATCAGTCAGCTGTTTCCACGCCTTCAGAGAAAATGTAGATTAAATGAAAGGTTATATTTCCCAAGTATTTATAAGATGTGTCCTTTTCAATAGAAATGCCAAGAACACTTTTCTTCAGGATAACGTATACTTGGATTCTCCAGCACCAGGGTTAGATGCTGCCTGTGGGTGATGAACATATCAATGGTGTCATCTGCATACAAATAAGGAGCAGCATTTGAGATCGGATCACCAGCATTATTTGTGTAATTAGTGAAAGTGGGAAAGATATAAAAAACTTCTGGGTTTCCGTGTTTAATTATTCTGTTATTGGATGAGAGTCCTACATGCAGTCGGGCATGTTTAACATAGTAAGTAACCAGTCCAGTCATTCTCACTCCTGGGCCTGAAGGTCCGGTATCCAGCACGTTTTAGTGGTTTCTCTGCTCCAGCACACTTGATTCAGTGGTTGGATCGCCTGTGCTGAAGCTCATCAGGCTCTGCAGAAGCCTGTTAATCACCTGCTGGTTGAAATCAAATGTGTTGAAGCAGAGTTAACACTAAAACCTGCTGGATACCAGCCCTCCAGGACCAGGACTGGGAACCACTGATCAAGATGAATGGATCAGGCTCCCTCTTTGGCCAAAGTGGTCAGTGTAGTCTCTTTCCTGCCCTTAATGAATGTATAATGAACATTTATTAATGAGTTATTAAGTGTGACACATTAAATAATCTATAAACTTCATTATAGCTGCTTATGAGGGAGCCTTGTTGTAAGGGGGAGCCTCCAGCGGTGCCTCCGATACGAGCCTCGGACTGATGACACTTCTGAGAGGTTTTTGACCACCTTTAATCCCAAACAGCTGATTCTAGTTTCCACGACGTCTCCAGAATCAGAAGTTTTATGTTGAGGCTCAGAGTCCAGAAACAACAAGCTATTGTTCTGAGTTGATCAGCTTATTATAGAAACATGCGTATGGTAAACAAGGTGGAGATTCTGCACCTCTGATTGTTTAAGTTATTAAATGATGGAGTACCTGGGGCCAGGTGGACTAAAGTAGGTGGTGAAATGCTATGAGGTCCCATAAAGCCTTCCCCGGTCCTGGGATGGATGGGTTAACCCGTCTGAGACGTGGCCCCTCCCTGCTCAGCTAGATGTAACAGGAGCCCTGAGCGTTTCCTCCTCTGCTCTAGTAATGGCTGCATGGATTTCACTCCGACTTTTACCTGGGAGCAAGCTGCTGCTGTCATGCCCCATTTCCAGGGGACAGGCCTGCATCAGGGGGGTGGGAAGGACCTCCACGACCCCGGGGGCCCTTTCTGCCTACCAGGACAAACTCCGGACCATGGAGGACCTCCCACATGTCAGGCAGCTGGAGCTGCTCTACAGGATGGTGTTTCAGGGTTTCCACAACCGTCTGCATGAGTTACAGGTGAGCCCTCGTCTGACACCTCTGACCTCTGGAGATCTCAGCTGCTCTGCGATCAGTACCTTTGTTTCTGTAGCAACCACAAGATCACGACAGCAAGTCTCAGATGACTGTGTTGCAGGACTGGTTTTGTTGACTTCAGCTTATCAAATGTACATCAGATTAAATCGCAGCAAGTTTTTCCAAAACAGTTCTCTGCTCCCTGCAGATCTTGGAGAAGCAGCTGTATGGACCCATTTACGTAAGTGGGTTTAAGGTGGTGGCTGTCAACTCCCCCCAGCTGCTGGAGGAACTCCTGAGGAAGGATCAGAAGTTTCCCTCCAGAGGAGACATGACCCTGTGGACGGAGTACCGTGACATGAGTGGACTGGGATATGGACCGTTTACAGAGTAAATCACCCACACGCTGATGCTCACAGTAAACTAAATCTTTGATTATTATTAATACTCAACCTTCTGGGCATAAAAACACCATGTTGCACAAAAAACCCTTAAAATAAAATATAAATTATTGAAGCAACGTTAATTAAAATAAATGTTATTTGCAAGTTTAGGAGCCTTTCAAATGATTCCCTGAAGAGGGACGATGGGGTGTTCTGCTTCATTAGGTGTGACAGTCAGCATGGAGTTAATGATCACCTCTAGGTTCTCAGAAACTAAATACCGACCTTTTCTGTTCAGAAACATGTTAAAACATGCGTCATGTTTATTTATTCATTTAGCAGACGCTTTTATCCAAAGCGTCTTACAATTTATAACCTATGGGGCATGTTGTGATCTGTGGGGGAAACCGGAGTACCCGGAGGAAACCCACGCATGCATGGGGAGAACACGCAACTCCACGCAGAAAGGCCGCAGCCGAGTTTCGAACCTGCAACCTTCCTGCTGCGAGGCAACAGTGCTAACCACTGTGCCACCATGCAGCCCATGCTTTATGAACATCCTGCAGATGGGAGGCAGGATTTAGTGAGCCAGACCATTTTGCATACGTTTTTCGTTACTGGGTAAACTAGAATCCTTTCCAAGGAAAATCTGTCCCACTTTTCTTCTCGAGTCTAAATCTACCTGAAGCCAAATCAGAGCCGAGTCTCAGTTTCAACAGCAAGCCTTTTCCTGTGTCTCCTGCTGCAGGTGGAAGACAGGATTGCTTTGATCCACCTGTCAGAAACCACAAACACATCAAAATTATCCAAGTGTCCCTTTGCTTCATACTCATTAGTTTCCTTGATTGAGCAGGAGGACTTGCCGAGGACAAGTGTAGCGTCTAACAAACCTCCCGTCCTCAGCGGACGATTTGTAAAAGCTGAAGGTGCAGAAACGTAATTTTAACCTTCGCAAGGAGGCCGCAATCAATCAGTTAGACATAAATAGTGCAGATAAACCTTCCTTTCAAAATAAAACACAATCTAAGCTAAAGAGTGGGAACATTTTAAGACGGGTTTCTGAACTGCAGCCTGTGGGTCATTTGTGATTTCATGCTGCAAGAATTCATATTTTATAAAGCAAGTTTGTTATTTTATTTAATTTGACAGTAAATAAAACCAGAGACCATTGCTGATTGTGAGATCCATTCATAAAACCACAGATTTCACATCATAGATACTGAGATTGGTATCAGAGCTCATGTCTGCAGTCCTCTGTTTCTGCTCCAAGGGAAGGAGAACGGTGGTACCAGCTGAGGGCGGTGTTGAACAAACGAATGCTTCATCCGAAGGACTCTGCTCAGTACGGCGGCATCATCAATGAGGTCGTCGCCGACTTCAACAAGAGGATCAGATATCTGCGCCAGCTCAGCCCCACAGGAGATCTGGTTCCTGACGTCTCCAAGGAGTTCTACATGTTTTCGTTAGAGGGTTTGTGACAAACACACACTCCTGATGATTCCGTTTCTCCTCCTGAACATGTTCCTGCTGCACAGGGATTTCTGCCATATTGTTTGAGACGAGGCTTGGGTGTCTGGAGGAGGAGATCCCTGCTGGTACCGGGGAGTTCATCAGCTCCATAGCTCAGATGTTTTCCTACAGCATGCCTGTGGCCGCTTTACCAAAGTGGAGCAGAAGTTTGCTGCCTTACTGGAGGCGCTACATCGCCGGCTGGGAGGGCATCTTCAGCTTCGGTGAGCTGCTGAGGCCTCACAGCAATGTGCCTTTAGTTAAAGTTGGCTGTAGTGTGAAGAAGTGAGAAACTTTGACCCCACGTAGGCGACTAGTCACAGTAAAAAAACAAAAGTGAACCTAAATGCACATTTATTCCATATGAACCACACAGAAAACCCCGATAAGTTCAGTCTACTTAAAAAAACCAAGGTAACCTGTTGCCTTAAAATTTTTAAGTAATGAAGAATTAGTTGAATAGATGCAGCTGAGTATGTTCAATGTACTTAAGGCCTTAATGGGATTAAAGATTTAAGTTGAATACACAAATACCAAAAGTTACATTAACTTAAGATAATTAGTT